CGCCCTTTTCCGCTGGCCATGTAGCATTTCTATTCATTTGTCTCCCACAGGTCTGTCACTGCGGAAATTTCTAGCCCAAACAGGGTCCAAAGAGACCTTCTACAAACCAAACCTCCTAAGAAGCAAAGTTCCAACAGTCGAGCGTGAGACACGAACGCACAGTTCCTGGCACTTTCCGAAAGCACCCTGGCAAATCCTCACAGCACAAAGCACCCTTTTCGCAGGCACTGGTGTCGTTACTCAAACACACACAAAGGGCCAACAAGGACCACGTGAGATGGCTTCTCTTCACATTCTTGAGCCAGACGTTCTGCAAGAACATCCAACATTCAAACTTCCTCTTTTCAAATCTTCACACTCTAAAAACAGGTAGAGAACACCATCGGTGATCACTACCCCCCTCAGACGGAACGGTCCACATGAGATCACCTCAAATGGGATCGTGGCCGAACCATGATGTCATCATTGAGAGGTAGTGAGCACCACGAGGCTAACCACCTGTTCGAGCGATCCGATCGATAGAGGACGACAAAAACACACCTCACTGCTTCGAAACAATCTCAGTTGTTTCTGACCCTTTTGGTTTCCTTAAACAGTTCCAGTTCCCAGTCGACACTTGGTTCCACCAAGTGTTTGCGCCTCAAATAAACAAGTCAAAATTGGTAAACCTTCTCTACAAGTCAACATTGGTAACCTTCTCTCAGGTGAAAACTCCATTCCCGCCAATCCGAGGAGGATGAGCCACAAAAGTTCTTCAAACGTTCACGCTTGGTTCCACCAAGCACTTGCACTTCAAATACTCAAATAAATACTTCCTTCCACGAAAAAATTCAGCTGCTTCAAAGGACAATTCTCGCGAAGTTCTTCAAATGGTTCAAATTCTTCAAAGGACACTTCGCTCTGATTCTTCAAATGATTCAAAGGGTACTTCGAGCTAAGAAAGCTCGAAGTTCTTCAAACACTTCAAAGAACATGCGCTCTCCTGAGGGAGGAATTCGTCGGGGTGAAATGTTTCTTAGAGACACCCAGCACCCGCAAGCAAGGCGCCCTACGCACAGAAGACTCGCGCAGGCACCTCCTCATGCGCTGAACCTGCGTCAACGCCTACCCTGCACAATGCAATCCAAGCACGGCTGATACACCTTTCCCTGATTCGGCCTGCTCCTGACATGCTTACACGTCACCTTGTGGTAAGCATATCCATTTTGAAACACCTTCAGATTCTCACCTCCTGAACCTGAACACTCCGTGCTCGCCAGCGTTTGGCTCTCCTTTTTCCAACTTTTTACGATCACCTCTCACCTCAAACACATTTAGGTAGCAAGATACCCAACCCAAAGCAAAAGTTCCCCCGATCATCATCTCAAAAAGATGCTCTTCGACAAACTCCATTACTATCCAGCTCTTTGAGATAGATAGGCTACAAATCTTTCCCCCTTTCAGACTGAAAGGAAAACTGCAAATTAACAGCTACACATCTTAAATGTTACTGCATTCTTTCTGTCCAAAATTGCACAAGACAAGCAACTGCATTCTTTCTGTTTCCAAGAAAACGTTTGTTTCACAAGACATCCACACGTTTCACAAGACATGCAACTGCATCCTATATCTCACGTCTTATCTATCTACCGCGCCGGCAAACGCAATCCAAACCAACTAGTCCGGGTCTAGAACGCGACCTGACACCGAAGTACTTGCACAGTGGCTTCGATAGCGACCCTAACTTAGTTAGCCCGCGTCTAGAAAGCATCCTGACACCGAGGTACCTACCTGCACAGTGGCCTCGATAGCGACCCTAGAAGCTTCTTCCTATGCTCAAGTGCACAGTCTTCAAAAACAAGTCTCGTTTCCAGTATCAAGTGAAACTTCATAAAGCTGAGCCCACACAAAAACGCAACTGGGTGTGAATACGTGTATGGTGATACTGCACTCAGGAACATGCGCGAGCATGTTGTGTCATCATCGTGCCTCCATAGCCGCTCTACACACACCGTTCAACACACGCGCCAGCTTGTCATTGTAAAACGCAGTACTTGACCAATCAACTTGGCCAAACGTCGCATGCTCTGCGCACTCACACGCCTGGTACTTTCGCAGTGGTCGACAAAAGGCTTCGCTGTCCGACACAAACCTCAGGCGCTTACCAACGAGCGCCTGTGGATTCCTCTCACTAGCTACACCCATTCGACACAAACGTACAACAGCTTCTTTCGTAAGTCCAAGATCTACCAACAACTCCTTAATGCCTACAAAGCCCCAAAGAGCGTTCACTGAAGGGACATGCTAGTAGATAGCTGTCTGTGCTGCTTCAGCTTACCTAGGATTGGCTCTAGCTCTCCAAACCTGATGTCGCCTTCATCGTTCACGCCTGACAAAAACCAGATAGGTGAACCTGATGTGCATGGACACGACACGTGTGTATGTACATGCACGCTCATTCCTTCTCTTCTAGCTGCTGCACTTGCACGCTGCGCCAAATCACACAAGTTGTCCACCGTCAGTTGCTCTTCCGCTTTCGAAGAAATGCCAAAGTAGGCAAATGCACTGTTCTTTTTCTTCAATGCTGAATTCTCTTGACAGCAGAGTTCAATCAAAATCAAAGCCTTCTTTCCCGTCTTTGCCAAACCTTCAACTGCAGACACAGTGGCCAGCTGAGCTGGACCAACTTTCGTGAATCCAATCGCCTCTCTATGAGTAAAGTTGAGTAAAGTGATACGAAGAACACTTTGTGAGGATGTCACTGCACTCGCAACCCAAGAAATCGTAACCCACCGAGACATTTGATCTCTCAACCAATAGGTTCGAACCTCAGTGTGCCTACTTTTCCGAGGGACATCCAAACCTTCAAGAAGTTGTCTTCCGCTTTCTGAATCTTTCAAAAGGTGGATTGGGGATGACTTACCCTCAAACCGAACCCTTCAAAACCCCGAAAAATTCAATCACCAACTTTCGCACCATGGGCAACAGACTTACGCAGCTCTGATGTCGACTAAATCCCTTTATCAATGAGTTCAACACAAAGATGAAAGCACCACTGATGCCTTTCCTCTGAGTCAGTCTCTGCGAGTCACAGAAAACTGTGATCAACTTTTCTTTTCCAACTCTCTCCAGGTCCGCGCCCGGAAAACTCAATTCAAACTCGCCATCCAATAAGAGGAATCTCAAAAGTTGCTTTATCCCCCTCATACCTTTCATCAGGTGCATGTTGTCCAGTTGCAAGTAGCGAGATAAAGATGTGAAGATCCTCTCTGGTTGTGACATCCAGGCCAATTTGCCAAGGCATCTCCTGAATTTTGCATAACTCTCCACTGAAAGGGGTTTGTTTGGCTCTGCATCCAACGTTTCCCTCAAGTTTGGCACAGCCGCTTTCCCCGTCTTCAGTTTCGACAGTCCGTAATCCTCAAAACAGGAATCAAGGTATCCCGGAAGAACATTCACAGGGAGTTTGCTTGATCCTTCCACACGACGAATCACACGTCCGACAAACTTCAACTGTCCATCTTTCTACGGTTCCAAAACCCCCGTCAACTTCGTGGGCACATGTTTGTTGAAAAGTGCTTGCACCTTACTCCCTGTTTCCCGATCTTTCGAGATGATGATGATGTCATCAACATAGATAACCATGATGATCCCTGCACCTGTGAAAACACAAGGGTCAGTTGGAGAAGAAACCAAATTCATGGGACCTTTAACAATTGATTGAGCAAACTGCAACCAATCAAGAGAAGCACTGCGAATCCCATTGAGGCTTTTCTTGAGAAGAAGATAAACCGGAGACCCAGAATCATCCCCCCAACTCACACTCAATGGCAACTTCGCAATGATCTTTCTCTTGGATTCATCCAATGGTGTATGCATGAAAGCAGCACTACAATCCAAAGTTGTGACATACGCGTTCGAAAAACCTGCAACAGCCAACGCTGTCTTGACTGCCTCAGAACTTGGAGTGGGAGAGCTGATTCCCAACTCTTTGGCTTTTGCATCATTGGCTCTCACACCCGGCTGACCTTCAATGGTCTTTGCGTTTGACACCCATCTACATTGTATGATTCGGACTCCATGTTGCTTTGCCAGCCTCTCTGCCTCACTCGGTTTCAATGGAGTACCGGCATCTACCCGGTTCATGTTTGCCACTTCCATCAACATTCCCCGAAAAGTCAAAATCCCCATCGAGGATCTCCGAAGTCGTGTCATCAATCCCATGGTCCGGTTTCCAAACCCTCAAAACCTTACCATCGAAAGTCACATCTTCAAACCCTGAAGACCCTCTAAAAACAACACTGTCCGCACGTCAAAGACAACATCTGGACTTGACCAAACCCTGTCCAAGCCGTTCAGAGAAAACACTTGACAACCATCGCCCGCGACTGAAACCATGTCCATGTCTTCTGTTTCTAACTGCCGTTTCCGAGATCCCCGAGAACCCTCAAGACCTTCCGCTTCGACAGTTTCTGGTTCCAGTGTCGTTTCAGCAGCTCGTTTCACTCCTTTAGATGAAGCCCCAACAGAATCACCAAGATCCATGTCCTGACCATCCTCAGGGGGAAGTGATGGGGTATA